CTATGCTGATATGCACTATGATGATAGGAATACCAAAAAAGAATAATTTCATTGTCTCAATTTCTTTCTCCCTAACAGAATTCAAAATAAGAGCTACAAATTAAAAAAAAGTAGAGGACAACAATGTTCCAGGAGGCCAGATTGTGTGGCATAAAGCTGGAGAATACCAACAAGATTTATTTCAGTCTATGTTTATTTACAGCAAACCAGTGGAAAGAAAAGGTGAGGAGAGACTTGAGTGATCAACTTCCAAAATGACTGAATGGTTCAGAATAAGGCTATCAGCCTGCGGCGTGAATCTGCTTTACTCAACAAAACTAAGCTTCTTCATTAAACTGCTGGGCCTCCTCCTATTATATAAACATGGTAAGAGATTTGCTGTCTAAGTTATTTTGGGAGGTTAATTCTAAATTAGGGTCTTTCCATACTACTGAATCAAACTCTCTTCCCAAAAACATCACTCAGCAAAAACCATATTAGCTTGACATTTGTTGCTCTTATTGACGGTCCTATTGAGACTCTATTGTCTCTGTCCCTGGATAACCTTTATTTGAATCAAGCAGAACACCCATGAAAAATGAGCAGGGCTGGATTTTGTCTTTGTTTTTTGCAGGGGGGGGGTAGGATACAGTTTGAAGCTACAGTTTTCATGCATTTTTGTCTCAAAATATTGAGTGATTGTGCCACTAATTCTCTGCTGTAATAGTCAAAGGAAATTCTGGGTACTTCAAGAATAAATCTTGTTTTTGGTTTTGTCTGAAGCACTTATGTCTATGAGTGCCTTGTCCTGTTTTCTATAAGAGCCTGTTTCCATTTCTATTTCTGATCTTCTGGATATTTGTTATAAAAATGCTATAAAAATATCATTATTCAGAAGAGGACTATGCTGATACATTAACGGTCCATTACATTCCTGTCCCTGTGTGGAAGTCTTCTTAATTGGATGGCAGTACCTATAACTCCCCAGTCAGTTTGGCTATAGTGACTGGAGATTTATGGGAGTTGGAGTCATTATATCTGAAGAGAACCAACTTAGAGAAAGCCTCTCATATGTAGAAATGCTTTTGTCTTTAGCTTTCTTGCTAAAGAAAGGGAAAAAAATTTCCTGAGATCTCCAGCAGAGTTAGCTAGGGATGGATGTGGGGAAGCACAGAAAAGCCCCTGCAGTTCCAGAAAAATAGACAGCAATGAAGAGTGGAGATAGAGTGAATTACTTCTTTCTGACTTGAGGAATTTATGCAGGAGGCATTCTCTGTTCTATTCAGAACTCAAGTTATCTAGATCTTTATTATTTATTTA